GGAATTGAACCCAGGACCTTGGGATTAGAAGCTGTCTCTTATACACATCTAGATGTGTATAAGAGACAGAACATAGTGTGAGTACCTGTGTTGATTTTTCCTTGCCAATATATGAAAATGTACTCAAAAGTAAATAATACATGCCATTTTTTTTTTGACTTTATACTTCTTGATATTACCTGTATAATACTATTAATTACAGAAAGTTTATAAGAACATGTTTATTTGTTGCAGTTAAGACTTGTTCGTTCAAGCCCGCCAAGTTCGGAATTTCAAGATACGCTTCAAAAGTCATATCTAATATATAAACGATACCAGGAAACAATTCACAGAGATCCACCTACTAAATGTACTCTAGCACAGGTGGGATTTAATAAACACACACAATTTGGATGGGATTGAAAAAGAAAAGTTGATGAAAAATGTAGCAAATTTATGTCTTCCTGAATTATATTTTTTTTATGTCAAAAACTAAATATATTGGCAAAAAACATTCCGGAATTGACATGCAGTTTTTTAGAATTCAGGAATCACGTTTTGTCACTTTTTTTTCTCAAGCCCATCTGTATAATTTGTTACTTATAGATTAAATTGATCAGGACAAAGCCTGCTAGTTTAGAGTTCCAAGAATCGTTCAACAAGTCATACAAACTTTTTCAAAAATATCAAATGACAATTCATAACGAACCAGCCTCGGAGTGCACAGAAGATGATGTAAGTCCAACAACATTGCCACCGATATGTATGACTTTGCATATTGTTATTTATGATTGCATGATAAATGTTTTTTTTTTTGTAGATCAAATCAAGAAAAGTACAGAGATCATTATGAAAGTGAAATTACAAAATTTCCAGTAATTCCAGTTTCATTTTTATTTTAGCAACAACAACAACAATTGTATGTTTCCTCTGAACCTAGTATGGATTTATGCATTTCATACTCAAAATATTAAGTGTACTACAGTTATCAGTGTTTTTTTTTAAAGTTATAATAAACATTATCGAATAATGAGATAAAAAGTATAAGAGTTGGTAGAAGCATCACTTTGCACAATTTACCAACTTTCCAATTTGTTTACATTTCACAATTTGTCAGGTATCTGTTTACCTATTGTCTGTTCTGCCTTTCTGAACAATGGTAGGATTCTATATGACGTCCTGTAACGCAAACAGTAATAGCTAGGTATACCCAGTTTGCAATATTTTATCAGAATTTCAGACAAAAACAAGTGTCATGTCAGCTTATCTGTTTATCATCAACCAATGAATACACAAAACTAAAATTGGTTGCATTTTATTAGAATATTTAACTTCAGTAGCTTAATTTAATTTATTTTCATGTTTTAATGTAGCACTAATTTTTTGCGTGGTCAAAGATACATCCTCTTCTGTGAATTGTCCCTGGCGACTGAGATTTCTGTGTATGTAATAAAACAGCAAGCTGAATTGAAGTGAATTCAATGTTTACTGGTCGTTGGAAAACCATAACAATTCAATTGAATTTTATTATACATCAAATGGCAGCATAAGATGAATTGCATGATATTTACATACCGTAAAAACCTAAAATATATAAGCCCCTTAATTTCAAGAAGCCATCTCAAAAAGAAGCCCATGGGCCTCTAATCAAGGAAAAAATGGGCTTCGTTCGAGATAATACTTACATTCATACTGACGTTAAGTTATCTTGTGATTATTATGATAGCGCGTCAATATCAATAGTTTTTTATTGTACTAGCATGGTTAAAATTTTGAAAAATATTAAAAATGGTAAATTCAATTTTCATAGTTGAAAAATGTCAAATAGTACCATTCCAAATTGACAGCATTCATTTTGAAAAGAAGCCCACCTTTTCAGTTTGCGAAAAATAATCTCAAAAAGAAGCCATCCAATGGTCCTAAGAAAAGAAGCCCAGTGTTTCTATTCAAGGTTTTACGCATTAAAACGCAGTACAAAAAGTTAAAACAAGAAAAATATACAATGTAACCTTAATAGTTAGATTTAATATCAGTATAAAAATGATATATATATGAATATAATTACATTTAATTTACAAATTAAAAAACAAATTTTATTAATATAAAAATACAGGCATAAAAAGTTAATATTAAACTTTACATTTATCAATATACAAATTATTATTTTTATATTATTTACAATTTAGTTAAAAAAAAAAAGAAATACGAATAATTTTAAGTAAACATGAATATCAATATCTTCAAGTGATTATAAAGTTTACCATATATGCAAAGGACCCGCGTTAAAGTCTAGGTGAAGTTAATAGGTAGTTTTCGCCACACAACGTTAGCCTTAATGTTAACGGATTCTGTAATAATTTGTTCATCTTATGTTGCGGAGTATGTTAATTTCAGGATTTTACGTGCTCGACGTACGTTAGTTACGGGTTTACTCATACATATTTCGATTTGTTTACAAAAGGGGTAGAGCTATCGTGTTGCATGTTGGGTACTCACGTTAAAGTTAAGGTTAAGATCGTGCGGTGAAAACTACCTATTGTCTAAGAAGTATAGTGTTCACGTTCTCGTATTTTCAATTTTATTTTTCTCAGTTTATTTCGCTTTACTTTTAGTTTAAAAGATTTTTATGTGAATCTCCGTTGGAAGAAGAGTATGCTGATGATGGACCGGCATGTGGCTATGGTTCCTTCCACCAGCAATACTGGTTGGATGATGAGCTCATTGCAGTTGGTGTCTTGGATATTCTACCACACAGTATTTCTTCAGTGTATTTGTATTACAATCCTGATTACAACTTTCTCACACTTGGCACTTATAGTTCTTTGAGGTAAGATGAGATTCATGGTGATCATTTTATATTTGGAGCAGTGGTGGTTAGGTAAAAGTATTAAATCCTTGCGAGCCACATAGGCTGGAGCTTATTAGCAGTCTTAAGTAGCGTGAAGTTTATGAGAGCGTGATGGGTGGGATGCTAGTCCACCGCAGGTTACTCCTAGCAATTTGTCGGTACCCATTGATACAGCTGGCAAGACTTCAGAATGAATTGTAGGTAAAAGTGCCTTGCTCGAGAACAAAAGCGAATTGCACAGCACCAGGGATGTAGGTGGGCGGACGTGAGCGGGGCCACCCAGCCATGAAGTTTTCCACCCAATCTAAAGCTAATTTCAAGGCCCTCCTCACTCCCACCCTTTTTAACCCATTTTTCCATCCTTAAAATTCACTTGTATCATTTAGAGTTTACCTTTGTGATCATCCACCCACCTTTAAAGTGTCTACCACACACTAATTTTTCTACAGCTACAAACTTGCACAACACATGCACAATAGCGAATATATCACTGTCCTACTTGTAAGTGACAATCCCTTGCACAAGACTAACATACACACATGATGCTTTACACAAACTAAATCTCAACATTAGGTTGAGTGCAGATGTTTTGGTCCAGACAAAAAAAATCCTGCAACACTCGCAGGAATTGAACCCAGGACCTTGGGATTAGAAGTCAAGCATCTTAACCCCACTCCAAAAAAATCTGAAATAAAAATTAAATCCAATCTAATCTTGCCTCTGTTTTTTTCTCTCATTACTATGTGAATACATTAATTAAATCATTTATTTTATTTCTGCAGGGAAGTTGCATTTACCCGGGAAATCCAAAAAGAAGCTGCTAATATCAAGTATTATTACATGGGATTCTACATACATTCCTGTCCAAAGATGCGTTATAAGGTAAATTGTTTACTGTCAGAACTTAATAATGAGTGAAGAAACTTTTTTTTTATAATCCGAATTTATATGGCGCCTTTCACGTTCAGGAGAGTATACGAAGGTGCTGGCATCATTATTTCTGTGGTCACTGGATACTTAGTTGGCAAACCAGTACATTTTTGTGCAACTTTCTCTGCAGCCTGGGAAGTATCCATAGTCATGCTGCTTTACACGCACAACCACATACATTCAATGCCACACCATCCTACCATGTAACCATAAGTAAAGTGTCTTGCCCAAGGACACAAGCAATGCGATGGGCGTTGGTCTTGAATTGCCGATCTCACGATCTGAAGTCCACGCAGCAGCACACGCTTCAGTTACTCATCAACGCCTGTTCAGCATCTGGATGAGGCCACAGTGACGGGCTGTGAGATAGAACAGTACACCGGGGTAACCCCCTACTCATCTTGAAAGATGTACTGGGTTCTTTATAGTGCACATGAGCCAATTATGTATACTGGGCCTACAGTTTATAGTCCTTATCCAACAAGACTTGGTCCAACTCCAGAACCTTAGGAGAGTTATCGTTTGAACCAGTACCAATATTATGACTGTAGGTTGCGGCACCCTGGCCATCCTATAGCGTTGACAGAGCTAGTGAGCTTTAGATCGACCTCGACTCTAATACAGAATTCTGGTTACGGGCATTGAGATGTTATCAAAACTTGTACACTCTACACTACAATTATATTTTAGTTCATTGATTTTGTATTTATATTAATTTCCGGAATAATGTCAAGTAAGCATGCACATTACTGCACCTGATAAAGGCAGTTTAGACCTCTGGCAAAAGCTTGTGAAATAAATAATTTAAAAGTCAATAAAGTACTACCAGTGCTTTTATTTTTACATAGTTAAAGCTACTAATATGGCTCTGCCTATTATGGATTACCAAATGTGCAAGCCCATATTATTAGAACAAAGGAGGAACACATGGTCAAAAGAAAAACAAATATTATAACGATGTATCATCTGCCTCAAAATAAACTATGCATATCACTTGTTCACCGGACGTTTAAGCCTTTGGTGCTGTGTGCAAAATGGCCGGTGTGCAAGTTAAAGAATGGAGTACATTCTTCGGAAGAGTAGGAGATTGTCTCCTGGTGTACTGCCCAATTCACTACCAGAAGGATCCAACTGAAAATAAGTCTCTGAACTTTCGTGGGTTATTCAAAGAAATCCAAGTTGGTCCATTGAGAGAAGGATGTACTGCCACTGACCCTGATCTATAATGCATTATGCCAGTGGTGCCAAGAGGATGGGGAAAGTTTCTCCTGTTAGGTGAAAAAAAATTAATTAAAAACATTTTTATATAAATTAAGCAAGTTATAATCGATTATTAGTTAGTCTAGTCCTCTATTCCGTTAAAAGGCCATAGCTTCCGTGGCCGCAGCCCCACCAGAGGCTCCCATCAAAGCCACCCCGGGACCCACGGCTACTCTCGGCAGCCTTGCATTATGTGCACACTGAATACATAATTCTACACAGCTAACAAATTTACATTATAATTATATTGCAGTTTGGTGTATACTGTAACATGATTTCTGATTGCTAATGTTAATTTTGTTTTCTGACATAACCTAACCACAACATTGACAACGTTCACGAATGTTGTAACGTTGTCCTTAACCCGTCTTAACTCTCAATATGAGGGTTATTCAAGGACACTGGCCAAGTTTGAACTGGAGTCCTCAGCACAAGAAGCAGGAACATTACCTCTCAGCCAACCGCTCAACGTGCATTTAACCCTGTCTGCGGAGTTCAGAAATGCTATTAATTGGTCTGACATACCCGGCCATCGTAAAAGCACCTCTTCGACCCCCCTCCCACTTTTAAGGGTTCAGAATGAACGTATTGCATGTTATATTCATCGAGCACATATACAATTGCTTGTCCTTTGCTTTTTAACTCTGTATAATACAATCACCTGTTGGTTATTTGCTAATGGTGTTACATTTTGATAAAACCAAATAACAAGTTCATCATATTTATACATTTTTTTTTTACATTTAATTCAACTAAACTAAATTACCTTGTTGACCTTTTTGAATTTAGATCATTCCCCCAGTTGACACTAAAATGTTGTTTTTAAACTTTAATTATAAATTCTTAATGAAATTATAACCTTTACCCCATTTTTTTTTCATTACAGTAATATGATTCATTGTTTTGTTTTGGTTTTTTTTTTTGTCATTCAAATTAGCTCTTGTGGTTTCATGATTAGAGTAATTGTGTTAAATACGTTGAAGGAGAATTTCTATTTTTACTTGTTGAATAAACAATAAAGATTGTGTTGCTAATAGTGTTGCTGCACCTAATAATATTAAGGGTGCTTCAACCTCTACTTCTGTTACCAGAGTGCATTAGTTTCCTTCCTTTTTTTTTTTTTTTTAGAAGGTAGAGAGGGGTGGTTGTATGTGTGGGCAGAGCCTTTTAACTATCCCTTGAGAGGGCGCTCTATTTAATGTTGCATTTTATGATAGACACATGTTGCCTGACCACACGACTTAATAGACCAATTATGAAATTTAATGACCAATAATACGAGTAACCGTACTAATGTATAGAATACTGTACGTACATGAATAAAGGCAGCATATTTAAAGTGAAAGACTGGCGTGACAGTGCTTTCCCTCAAGTGAATACAAATACAAATATTAATTCAAGATGACTTTATTGTCCACGTAAGGTTTATTCAGAATATTTTGGTAAGACAAGCTGTTTATTCAAGTAATAAGGTATGCATTATTATCTGTTGTTAGTATTTATTATTTATGGATATTTATTTTCCATTTAAAAATCTTCAGATGGTTACTGCGAAAATACTGTTGCTATTTTACCATAAAAACATAACGTCAACACTGAGACCTCACTTGCCTTTAGCAATATCTACTGATGTATTTCAGGTTTTATAAAATAGATATATGTGGATTTAAAGAAGGTACTCACAAGGAATCCCTCTTTTGAGAAATTCAAGATCAATACTTGAGAATACAGTCTATTTCAATAATAAAACACAAAACAAAAATGATTGAGTAGATACTGAGATTAAAAATCTATAATACAATAACATAAATAAAAAAAGGTAAGAGATTGAATTATAGGATCCTAAGATTAGTCTCTGACTAAATATAAAATATTATTCTTTAGTTCTTCATCTTTTACTATGGTAAGGTACTATACAGTAGATCAAATATAATCCTGATATATTTTTCTCCCTTTAAAGACCCCTTTTTTGTGGTCCCATATTAACAAATGTCTTTTATCTTTATTTTCTAATTAGGTTTTGCTAGAGATTTAGCATGTTACAGTATATATATATATGTATATATGTATTACCTTTCTTTGATGATTTATATATGTGTATATATATATGTGTATATATATATATATATATGTTTGTGTGTATGTGTATATGTATGTGTGTGTATAAGTGATGTATTAACCACTTACTTATATTATTAGTATTATTATTTATTTTTATCTCTATTACTATTTTTATAAACCCTTTTTTTATTTATATTTCGTTTTACCACAGTATTTTCTTACTATATTTTATCACAGTAATTAAGTTTTTACTGATTTTGTTATTGTTGCACGTCTTTACGGCTGTGCCTCTGTTATAAAAGAGAAGCAATAAAGTTACTTACTTACAGTTTGTGTACCCTGATTTTGCTTATTAATGACTGCTAAAGACCAGGGACACTCAGGTCCCAAAGTGGTTTTTAACTGGAGGGAGACCTGTTTTTAACCCTTACACAAGTTCATGAATAATTTGCCATATTGCACATTGAGTAATCATACCCAGCCTATATTGATAAACAACTGCAGATTGAATAATGGTTACAATTTTGGGAGTTTAAAATTATTTAACATTAATTACTTGCACAACAAGAGGCTACAGTACTATTGGTCCAAAAAGAAGATCCAGAAGGGGAATGACTTGTCAACAAGCCTTCCCTTCCACCTCCCTCCCCCTCCCACACAAAACATGAGAGCCAACACTTTTTGATCCCCATGGGTCATAATTGTTGTATAAACAGATCCTTTATTGACTGGAATCTGTCTGGCACTACTACCTACCAAGGGGGGTAAACATTTCAGCATGGAGCTATTTAAACAATTTATCGGTATATATTACCCTTTTAATAGAAACCATTAAATTATCTCAATGTACATAAATTATTCAGGGAGGCAGGAAAAGAAGTACAGTAGTAAAATTATGTCCCTGGTGGCTGTAAAATGAGTATCTCATATTATCAATAGTGCTTTTGTTTTTTACTGTTTATGTAAACTATACACTTGGGACCGAGATCGCCGGATAGACCACCCAGGACAGGAAACAAGAAATCATTCCAAAAATAACTTTAAAGAAATGTTAACATTATTATTGAATATATTAATGGTAATAGTTATAGATATATTTTCATTATCAATACAGATATTTATTACTATGAAAAAGTAAATATTTTTAGTTGAAGCCGTATGAAATGGTACATAACAGTTAGGCAATACGAAGAAGGTTTGGAGGTTACTGACCTTAACATGTGTTAAGTGCCTAACCGGTAGTGTGCATACTTCCTTGTTGACAATACCCCATTCAGTTTGTTTAAATGGGTCTGATATGGGTTCACATTTTCACTTTGGGAAGTGAATGAACTTGGAAAAGTAGCATGGCTTATTGTCATATCACGAATCAGAGTTCGAATCAGAGTTTGTTGGCAATCCTATTACTTTAGGCCTAGCCCTATTGTAATGGGCTGGTAGTTGTGGCAACTATTGACATGTTGGCGTGAGACTGCATATCATAGAGACCTGTGCACAAACAACGACAATGAAATTAATGTATTTATTTGAACTATATATAATTAATAAGGATGAACCATTGAGGTATAAAATAGCATCTCTGTGGGTAAACCATCCAACAGTTACTAATCGTTTGATACTCTTAACCAAAGCTTCTCCCTCCCTTGCCGGCTGTGACATGTCGGATCAAAATATAATATAAAATTTCCTAGTATTTCCCAGTTCTGTATCTCCATCCCCTGGTAGTCAGGCTCCTCAGTAGTGGTGGCACTAGGATTTTCCCGACAGCAAGGCAACGTCCCCGACAGGCAGGGAAAAGTTTGTAATTGGCGTGTAGTGCCGTCAAAGGGCCATAGGCGCAAGCCAGGGGAGTGTTTGGGTGGGGTGTCCCAGGGCAAGGTGTCCTCCTCTCCCCCAATGAGAAATAAAAAAAAAAAAAGCCGCTAGATGCTCATACAGGGCTTCTTGACCTAAGCATGGTGTTTTTTGCATCTCGTTGGCATCCAAACTATTAGTTTATATAGGCTTTAACAGTGAAGACAAAAGGAAATAAATAAACAGCAGGTATTTTTATAACATTGTAAATAATAACAATAATATCCATAACAACATTGTTATGATGTTGTTGCATAGCTTTAGGAGTGAAGATAGTCCCAAGTTGGAAGGATAAGTATTAATTATAATACTTACATAAATAAATAACAAAACTTCAAATTCAGATTGAATTTTCATTGTTTTTGTTTGCAAGTGAAAGTTTGATGGTTACTATTGTGGTTGTCAGGGGATGGTACACCACAGACTGGCTGTCCCGAAAAAAAGGAAGGAAATAGACACAGTAAAAGACACACAGGTGATTATCCTTGAAATTTGGTAAAGGTGGCTATAAAAATAGTGTTTGAGTATTTTTGAGTGGTGTTTAATTATTTATTTATTCAGTAAATAGAGAGTGCCCTAACAACACCACTGACTCAGGAACTATAGACATAACCCTGTTACGATCAGTGAACAGACCACAATTACAAGCAATGCAAATACTACCATATCACAAAGTCAATAAACAATACTGTACATATATACAATATCTTGTTTAATAATATAAAGATTTTAAATAGTGGTTTAATTAGCGTATGCAAAGTGCTTATAAATGAAAAAAGAATGGTTCTAATATTATAGTCAAAATAATAAGAAAAATATTATAAATGGCAAATATTAGATAACAAATTATAAATTATTATATATAATAATGATAAATTTATAATGAATAAAAATTATTACATATAATTCTGATTCAGAAAGCCACTCCTGAACCTAATCCTCTGCTAAACCTTGGTTCCGTTTGTATTTTTTGGTTTAAATCAAACTCTCAGTTAATTTTTTTCTCTTCTTCCTTATTTATTATTTGATTAATTCATCTGCTACGGTATTTTGTGCTATAAATATCCCACTACGTATACGCACATAAATACATGAAGAGAGAGATTATGGGAGGGATAAAAATGATGTGTGTTATTTTTGCCTTGAATTGAATTGTAATTAAAGTATGTTGTCAAACTGTAGTAGTAGGGAACAGAATGCTAATACCTGCTGGTTTCCTGGTAACCATACCTCAGGTGATGCTGACATATGCTGGTATGAGCACAGGCTAGGGATGATATTATCCACACCTGAAGCCCAACTTGAGGCAGCCGTTGACACCTGCTGATCTAGGTTGTTTCGGTGACCCATATCAATTCATGCCGAATATTAATAACGCAAAATCATAACATAAATATGTGGTCTCTGTAATGTTTGTAACTAATGCATTAATAGTAATAATAACGATGATACAGTAATGCTAATAATAATAATATTAAACGTCGTCACATTTTATGTTTACATTATATAATTAATTATACAGTAAACACAATGACGTCAATCTGCACTGTAGGGAGTTTCTGAGTTGTAGCCAAACACTCACTATTTACATAGAAAACAATAAGACATAATTTAATGGGATTTTTAACCTTTAATGTTAACTGCCAGTTTTCTATACTGTTAATGAACATGTAATAATAACATAAGCTCTGCATGTGTATTACTATCTAAATTTCTATGCATGTGTATTACATCTAAATTTCTAAAGTCTGTTTTGTTATTGTCAGTGATGTCAGTGATAACAGTATTGGTGTTGTTTGTTTGATTTGTGTACTGTTATTCCAGATTATTCTCAATCAAACGGACATGGAGTCAATCTTTTGCCTGTCTTACAATAAATATTTAGATGGATAATCAATATCAGAAATGTAGGCCTACTGATAAAACTAATTTCATGTGAATTAATTTCATGTTATAATCCAATCATTTGTTTGAATGGAGAGGTAAACAGCCTGTTAGTGAACTTTTGAGTGGGTGGAGAGTAAATACTGCCACTGATGTTCTATAATATGCCTTATGCGGTCATTGAACCCATTTCCAGTAGATGCACAGAGAGAACTATCTTTGTCTCCTTCCAAAATAAGAACCAGTGTAGGAAGTCTGGCAGCCAATGAACTGGCTCCTATTACATTTTCCAAGAAGGAGACAATCTGCTTAGTATGCATCGAAGTACCGTGAGATTTGCACTCCTTCAGTTTAATGACTTTGAGAACAAGTGTGTTAATTATTTATTTATAGTCTGGTATGTTAATTTTATTTTACAAATATTTTTTCCCCATTTCACTTTAAAAAAATTCACTGAGCCAATAATAACAAGATTGAACCATGTGATGAAGTTCTGTCCAGACATTTGACATGTCTATATATGGTCATGATGACATCACATCATGACCATATATAGGTATTTGACACTATGGACAAGGATTGAGTGAAATTTTAGGGATTAAGTGAAATTGTTCTAAATACTGAGACAAAATGTTGATGTTCGTAAGATTTGACCCCAGAACTCTTGGATTAAAAGGCTGGCACCTTCTTCAATCAACCATACTCTGTTCTTTAGAGAGTGTGCATTAATAACAGGAAAGAGGGATGGGTTAAATACCTCCTTGGTTAACCATATACAGCAAATAAACAGTTACAGTATTAATAGGGCTCTTTTGATATGCCTACTGCAGCTATGACCTAACCTAATACTAAAATTATGGTGAATAAATAAATATGGAGTTAAAAAATACAGGCGTGTATATCATATTTTTTGCCTGTAAGTATAGATCATATTAACATTACCAATCTGTATATCTTCATCTGTGTGTATGCTTGTGTACTTAAACAACCTGCGTACTTAAACAACCTGCGTATTGTTCAGTATTTACCTATACATGAGTCATGAGTTCTTATACCATTTTACCCTGGTCAACCAAAGTTCATGACTTTACATATCAGTTGAAAACAATACAATGAACAAAGAATATTTACACATAGTTCATCTGTGCTCTACAGCACTTGTGTAGTCTTTAGCTCAATACATTATACATGTACTGTTCACTTGTCATGGTACAGAACACATGTTCACTTGTACAACAGTACACCTGTACTGATATACAGGTAGCACTATTACACCTGTATTGTTTACCTCTACACAACAGCACACACGTTTACTTCTACAGTACATTATTATTATTATTACACAGCATACAGTAAACCTGTACTGTCTCTTTGATATACACTTGTTTGCTTCCCTAAATTACCACAAATTACATTAAACAAAGACGAAAGGCCAAATAAAAAAAATATACTTGTTAAGTGCCACCACCCGCCCCTAATTTTCTAGCCACCTTTTTTTTTTTTTGAAACAACAAATGATGAAATTTGACTGAAAAATGCAAATAATCGGCAGAAAACGATCATATTTAGAGAGCTTTTGTTATCTTGTTCGAGAACCATGTGTGCTAAAAGAAAAAAATTTTCTGTTCTCGTTACCATTCTAGTTAAAACGTTTGCGTTCCCCAAGACCTAAACCCTTGGTGGTAGCACACGCTTGGGTCGTGGTGGCATGATGGCTCTTGCCTAGCATAGGACGAAATACATTGATTATGTGAACATCTGCAAAAAAATTCGAGTTAATTTGCAATTAGTATATTTAGTATTATTTAATTAGAAGCGAGTATTAGTTATTAGTATTATGTAATTAGTATTAGTATTTTTTAATTAGTATTATTTAATTTAATTTATTTTTTAATTAGTATTAGTATTACTTAATTTGAGCAAGCCAAATGGCCGAGCGGTTAAGGCAGGGGCACCGTGATCATAGCCAACAATATCGGCATAGGTTCGCGGCCGGCTCGCTCCTATGGCTCTGGTGGTGGAACAAGTCTCCTCGGATAAGGACTATAAACAAATGCTCATGTGCACTTTAAAGAACCCAGTACATCCTTCGAGATGATTAGGGGGTTACCCCGGTGTACTGGTTCACCCAGCCCCTGTCGTGGACTGTTTTATGTGAACTGGGCCCTCTGGGAGAACAGTAATTTGTTACTGAAGAGGAAACCCAGTATAAAGAACAAATAAATAAAAAATAGAAAATTAACATTTTAAGCGGCGCTCGACCACGCCCACTTTGCTCTTGACGGAGAAATCTGCTCCCTCGTTGGGGAACCCCCTGGCCTTGATAAAGATAAGATGATACACACAATTTTTATGTAGACCTATGCCTATTAAAATATATATTGTACAAACAAATCTATTTTGCAAACGTATAGAAGAAAACAGGCATTTGATGTGTTATTACAAAATATGACAGCTTAGTGTATTAAAAATACGGCAGGTTTATTACAAAATACGACAGGTATTACAAAATACGACAATTATTTAAAAAATATGACGCAACAGACATGCTCCACACATTTAATGCTGAGGGTGGCATTCCGGGATTTGATGAATCATAACCCTTATTCATACTGGTAATTAGTGCCCTTTTAGTTTTCGATAATTCTACATTCTTAAAATGTCTATTATTTAACTGAGTGGTGATAGAAGGTTTTGCCTTACCCTGTTTTGTACATAAAGACCAGTTCTCATTCAAAAACACCCGCTCGAAATTGGTTTTAAGAAGGAAGCGAAGTGGATACCCAGGCTGTTAACCTGTACGCCGTACAGTGCACCTATACAGTATACCGGGGTATCTAGTTCACCTACTCACCTGTACACAACAGTTAACCTTCAATGAAGCATGTACTTCGCTATGATGGACAGATCATATTTTTCTGGTAGAGTAATCAAATTATGGGAAGCGGATAAAGTTTATCTAAGAAATAGCTTAAAGTTGCCTTCCTACGTTGCTCAAATCCAGTACACCCTTCGTACGTAATAGCTTAAAGCTCCATTTCTGTTGTTTAATTCCCACCGTTATTCAGTAAACTTCCCATACAAATTAAATTTGTTTAAACAGTAAAATGATTATATCATGATGAAAATATAAATTTATTTATTATACATGATTATATACATGCCTTTATATTTATTAAGTTTATATATGTATTGTATTTTCATGTCATATTTTTGATGGTTTGGCAGAACCCTTTAATCAAATCCCTTTTGATAAACCAGATAACGACTCCCTTTGCATCAAAAGCCATTAAAATCTAGAATGTTTGAGCTCTAGCACGGGGCTTCATTCCTGGACACCACCAAGGGTCCGAGGCATCCTTTGGACCCCCTGCTCCCACAGGAACCACACATGTCAAGTAAACTGTGGGCCACCAGCTTTAATAAGAATTGAGTGAATGAAATAACTCTCTACTTAACTTGAGGATTAAAACGGCAAAAGAGAAAATACTTCTGGGATTGGAAGATCATAGCCACCAAGTTACAATCCCAATTAAAATTTAAGTATTCTTTTTAGTGCGGTACTGTTTTGAAATTACAAATTGAAAGATTGTGTTCTTGTGTGCTTGTTCTTTGCTGTTTTTCTAAATGTTAATGGTTTGAGAGAAATGAAATTTTGATTTGAGAAATCTCATATAGTTACAGGTTCTTTAAGTTCACAAAAAAAGTGAGGGAGTGAAGGCTGAGCATCAGTCAGGGACATGGACTGTTTCCTGATTTATAATACCATTTCCTCCTCATCTTCATTTTAAAAAACAACCACAAACTTTCACTCATTAAATTTTTTTTTTACTGATATTTTTTTGGAAGTTTTATGATAAGACTCTGGCAGTCTTTTAATAATTTATTACATTCATTTTCATAAAAAACAACACATAATCTATACTAATACTAAAGTAATATAATTAAGAAAAATGATATACCACAATTTTTAAATACAAAATAGAAATATTATTCCTATTATAACATTTGATAGATTTAAATTAAACAAGTATTTGCCATTACTAAAATAGCAGTCCATATTATTTTACTGAGGTTAATAAATGTGGTTTTCTGGTGAGTTTTTTTTTAAATTATTGTAGGCCTACTAACTGAGAACAAGTTAATAATTTTGGAATCTGTTTTAACATTGCTTTGGCGATTTATTTATTTATTTTTTTTTTAAGTTTATGAATGTCATCTTTTTTGTTACACCAGTATTCATGAGTGTAGGGCAATGAACGTTTCGATCATCCTGCAAATCTGTTGCAGTCTGTTGAACACGCTGCCAACGCAATGACATTTTATTTTGTCCCATACATTAGTAGCATTGTTCTCAATGGTGACATTTTGTAAGAGTAATGTGGTTTGTTTTTTTCAAAAGTTATAGAACAATATATATTATTTAATTAACAGCAAAAGCAACAATCATTATAATCATAATTTATCATAATTATTATAATAATTACCATAATTAATCACTATCTCAAGTACTATATGAGACCTGCCATTCCAAAACCAGCATACTGTACTGTCGCTAAATTAATTAGTACAAAAGTGTGGCGTGGCAGTGTTGTACAGGGGATAATTTTACTCTTAACTTTAGTAATAGTCTGTCAGTTCCAGTAAAAAGACCTATCATTTTAAAGCTTATAATGTGGAGAATCTAAATATATTAATACAGTATTACTTTCTGGTTTTGGTTACAGATGCAGGTTTTTGGATGGCAAACCTCATAGAATGTGTACCAACACATCATCAGAATATAATAGTAGTGGCAAATAACATTCCGTGTTAATCTCATCTATAGAGAGTACCACAGTCGTGTCGGCACAGCACTAGGTGGCACCCTCTGTTGTCAACCATACGTTGGTTACTGTTCATATACACTTGAATGACTTCATAGGCTTCCTGGAATAGGCATTTTAAAACCTAATATTTTACCATCAATCAATGTACTAAAAACAAAAAAGCTCGCATTATATTAGTTATCGAACACGCATTTAATCATCAATTAAAATTTACAAAGAAAAATTAAGATATAGCATCTTAATAATTACGTTAGAAATTGGGATTAATGCAGTGGTGGCGCCAGAGGGGGGCTGGGGGAGCTCGTTTGGATAGCCTTATGATGCTTGAAATAAATCGTGATTGGTGAAGCAACTTGACCATGACAGCGTGGTTGACAGATTTCATGCAAAATTTCCAAAATGTAGAATTTCACTTTTAAGAATGAGGATTTGAAAATAAATTAGATGGTTACATTGCATACACTTTGTTTCTTGTTTTATTCAAAATGTTTTGGTTTTGGAAGCTGATTTCGACATTAGAAAACATAGCCTACATGAAGTCACTCAATGCCTATCAAAATGATAAAAATTCGCCATAATTCATCAAGAATCTTTGGCTTCCAGGGGGCTTCGCCCCCTGGCCCTCCTAGCCGAGTGAGACTTGATTCACTCCACTAGCCCCTCCCTCGGGCAGGTCCTTGCGCCATCACTGGATCAATGGTTTGTCAGTTGAGACAATGGGTCCGATAGCAACAGAGTAGTATCACATGGTATCGTGACGTAACCCTGTAGTACTCTATAGGGAATTAGTGAGAGGGATATTCTTAATATGATATGGATTTGCTCAATCAATTTCTTTATTTTTCTTTAATATTATAATGAATGATTATATTAGTTTGACTTAATTTTGATATCTATTTTCATTTTAGGGACAGATGAGTTCTTCCTTTCTGCTATGCCCTGAAGCCTACACTTGGCATCCAATAGAGAATTGCCGTTCAAAACTAGATAAAAACAAGTATAGTAGATTAGATCAAACAGATGCAGGTAAGTTACAAATGGAAGCTTGTATCTATGCACACCTGTGGTGTTCGCAGTCACTTATTACAAAAGTTCAATCACCAACAAGCCTGCTTCTATGTAAGACATATAAATGAATGGTGTTCATAGAATTGTGGAGGATAAATATGTTTTAATGGATGTGTCATTACATTAGAAGTTGTGTGCGGGGGTTCAAATGTTTGATCAGACATGCGGCAGAGGAAAAGATCACTCACTGCATACCACCTGGTTTCTTTAAAATCATTAAAATTATATAGTCATTTTAGTATTTAGCTCTTCTAAGTATTTGTTAATAATAGTTTGGGCATGTGTTTGTGTTAATGACACAAATTCCTGGATCAGCCACTGTGTGTAGCATAATGTTGAGGACTAGAGCCTGTCCAGTATAGCCTTTTTCTGATGTGACCTGTCCATTTTTAGCTTTCAAATATTTCTCCTTCGTCTACCATTTAACATATTTTCCTATGGTTTACCAAGTATTCATAAATATGTTTTGTAAACACATCCAAACTATGGTATAAAAATTTCTACTGTATAAGAATTGTCTATACTCATTTTCAATTTTCAGTAGTTTTGTAAATTGAATGCAAGGGGACTAGGGTTATCAGAGGTACTAATAATGTAATATCAAAATAAACCATTGTATAAAGTAATAAATTAATATGATATATTAAAAAAATGTTTATATCTTTTATATATTTAATTATCATTTATTAAATGTAAGTACATAAGTACCTCAGTCATTTATGTCTTCAGAGTTCTCAAGTATTACATAACTTCTGTATTTGCTAAAAAAAATTTGCCTATACGGACATATAGAAATAGACAAAAATACTACAGAAATCTATCATAGGCCTAAATTCATAAATAAATAGGTCTAACATCCAGAATAATGACTATTCCATCAGGATTTTGGTTACATTGTCCTTAGACAACTCAAATTTGTCAGATTACTGATAAATTATTATTGTGAAAAATAAAGTGGCCTATAAATGTTCATCCTGTCCTGTTTTTAAAAATTTCTGTAGCCATTATTATGCTGTACCTGTAAATTTAAGCAACCCATATTATTAGGTGCTACAGAAATCTTGTATTAACCATGGATATTTGAAGACATGGTTTACTGAAACACATTTTACTAACTTGAAAAGTCTGATATTTTTTATTATTTGCATAGAAAATGTTATTGTTGCTGGTTTAAAGGGTCATCTGTCATCATGCAGTAGAGCCATGTGGCAAAAAACCTATCAAAGAGACAATTGCAAGGGTTTGAATAGTGATTTTGAATAGGGCTACCCCTATAAATGGGACTTCCCTATTGAGGAAACATTCGATTTTCAAAGGCAATGTTCTAATACAGTATTGTATGCAGGGACAGATATAGAGATGTCCAAAAGGGGGGGGGGGCGAAAGTGGAGATGATCGAGACAACACTACCCTAAGGGGCCGGCGACATACCCGAAAAATTTTTGTTTTCTAGACAGTCCGAAAATTACCTCAGAGGCGTTTTTCATTCTTTCTTTCTTTAAAAAAAATTTTTTTTTTTTACTTTTCAAAATGCGAGGTCCGTGCCAGGGCAGACCCCCCCCCCTTCCCTAAATCCGCCCCTGATATGTATTAGACACTCTTCACACTGAAGTTTGTCTATTGTACGTATTGTATGCAACAGCCTTCCAATAAGCCACTTCGTAGTTACAACCGCGCATGCTCAAATCAAGGTCAGTCGACATAAACACCATACGCACTTGAACTTGAATACGAGCATGAACAGCTCCAATCAAGAATTGGCTTATTGATTTGTGTCAATAAGTTCATATAATATTGACTTGATTATCAATTATCAATACCTCAACGGTATTTAAGTAAACTTGTACCATATGAGAGACCAGTTAAGTGAGCTATCTAGTGTTAAATTGATATAGTTTCGTTTCCTATTACTAGTATTCTACTAGCCTACTTCATAACCCCTTTAAGCCTATCTTAATTGAATATAGCAAAACTAGGTTACCATATGGCATACACTAATTCTACAACAGACTATTTTGTATGACACTTTTAATATCTCTTTTAAATCATTAAACTCCTTTAACAAGCACTATGTTGGTTTGTGTCCTTGCAAGGTATATGGTACAGTATATGTCATTTTGTTATGTTTACTATAATACTTTTGTTATTTTTTACCGCTGGCTTTTTTTAATGAATATCTCATTTATGAATTATCTCATCTTATTTAATGAATGTCTCATAAAATTTTCATGAAACAATATTTGGCTTCAATAAAGTTTGGCTAAAGATAATGCATTGTGGGTGTCTCATCAATTCTTGAGTATGGTTTTAGGACATCCAGGTCCGAGATATTGAGTGACATCATTGAAAGTGTCCAGAAACAAAGCATGGGGATATCTATTAGTCAGGCTCCGGAGGAAAAAAATTTGTTGATATGTTGTAGAACTGATTTTTCTGAGACAGAAAAAAGGTGTAAAAAAGGGGCAGTTACGCCCGTTTGTACCCAGTTTTTAAATATTCAAAAATCTGTATCTCGTTCACCCGTTCCCCAGTTTTTCGTCAAACAACTTTTTTCTGTCTTAGAAAAATCAGTTCTACAACATATCAAAACATTTTTTTCCTCCGGAGCCTGACTTTAAGGTTAAGTTAATTTAGTCTGAAATGATTATCAAATACAAGGGTGGAGCAGTGTACCAATTTTCCAATATGCTGCATATGGAATACAGTCAATGCCATAGCCAGCTATTGGGATAGTTGGGACAGTCGCACACAATTTTTTTAAAAGGTCCACAAAGAATGGGTCCACTTTTTGAAAAATGGGTCAAGATTTCTATTATTTAGCTTAATAAAATGGGTATAATTTATGAAAATGGGTCCAGTTTTTTCATATTTTTGCATAAAATAGGTCCACCCAGATATTGTCCCGCACTGTTTCAAAATCCTGGCTACAGCATTGAGTATAGCACTGTATTCATAGTCTGGAATGTATTTAGCATATACCAAAACAATTCAACATACCTAAACATGATCATGACCTATATGATACCCAGTATATTCCTGGGTTACTTTGTTACTACAGTATTTGTTTTGCAAGCTGTCCAAATATTTGAAACAGTTGCAGTCATTGACATAATGCAGCATTTATAACCGGAAATGACCGACGAAAACCGCTTAGTTCAGTCGGCCAAACTGGTGGTAGCGACTGTGTGTGCGCTGAATAGTGAGGATCTTTAGGTCCCCGGTTCTATTCCCATTGCTGCTCTTCTTGTGTGTCGGCTGGAGGGCTAAAATACAATTTACAAATACGCACCGTCTTTCGGATGAGGGGTTTAAGCCGTTGGTCCTGTGTGTAATATGGCCCATGTGAACGTAGAAGAATGCAGTACACTCTTCAGAAAAGAGTAGGGGATTGTCTCCTGGTGTACTACCCAATCACCACCAGAAGGACCTCACTGGAAACACATCTTCGGACTTAGTGGTTTGTCGTTGGTGTGATTCACCCTTATTGGAAGCAGTCATTTCCAGGAGATTTGTTTATACGAGGTTTCACTTGAACACTGACTTCCGTGAGATGAGACAAATGATAATAAAGGGGTAATACAGCAGTAAAAAAAATGCAAATTGCATTGTATTCCATAGCCACTGTGTTCCTGTACAAATACTATTAATACAGTAATCTCCATTTTTCAGTGAATAAATAATGATGGAGGATTAGCTCATTTTTAAATTCATATTTTTACATCAAAATATTATGCATATAATGTTTTAAGTGTTATTTCAAATTTTGTTGGCACTATATATTAAGTACTGTACTTTCCAAATTTGATATTTATCTAAATAACTTTACAATTTATTGTGTATGAAACAAATAAATGTTGAGGTTTCTTGTGTTTTAAATTATTTGATTAAAATAGCCTTAATTATGTATAATTCAAGATAAAAATGTTTTTAATACAACTTAAGAAATGAATCACCTGGTATTTTTTTAAATAATAATGATTTAATACTATTACTCTTATTATTGCATTTAGTGGCTTAATTTTAATAGGTTTTTTTTCATATTATATTTATATTTAGTTGAATTTAATGCACTTGAATAGACAACAAGGGCTCTTATCTGCATGAAAAATATACAAAAAAACATATATCTAACAGATACAACATTTATATATTTTAGTTTTATTTTATCATTATTTTTACTAAATGTGGGTTAATATTAGTTTATTTTAGGTATGTTGTTATTAATGTTTTAACTAACTTTAAAAAAAATGTACTGGTCGTAAATTACGATAAAACCAACAGGATGTGATAGAACACTATTTTATTTTCATATGAATATTTTGATGACATCTCCATCAGCTTGACTGTTAAGCCCAGACCTGGTTAAGGCCCCATAAAAAAAATATTAGTTTATCACCCTATCAAAGAATAAAAACTGATGAGGGAGGGAGGTTTTTTATTTTATTTTTTTTAACCCCGCCCCCCCCCCCCATTTTACCGATGTTCACAAGTAAATCAATGGTTTAGGGACACATATATAAAAAGTCATAAGAGTGGAATCAAATTTATATTTAAAAAATATGTTTTTGTTGTACCAGTAAACATATTTGTAAGAAATCCTGAGCTTTTCAGGTGAAAAGATGGAAAAACAACCGTTTGAAATCAAAATATATGTTGATTTAAAAAAAAAAAAAAAAAAAAGTGATGAGGGGGGGGAGTGATGAGGGGGGGGGGGGTGTGATAAACTACTAATTTTTTTATATTTTTTTATGGGGCTTAAGTCCTATCCAGACTATAACATGTTATTTGACAAGAATATGTGAAATGCTGTGGTTATGACATCGCATCATGCCATATATAGGCACATCATGACTATATATGGCCATACAACTGTTTTTTCTCAAAGAAAATGTGATAATCTGGACATAGCTTTAAAGCTTTGTCTACACTATCAAACTTTATGTGACAAAAAAATGTGATGTGCCCATATATGGGTACGATGACGTCATATCACATATCATCAAATTGTATCAAAATAAGTTGAACTTCTTTAAATCTATGTTCCATCAAATTATATGTGATGCTTAAGACTATTATGATAGGCCTGATGATAGGCACTATAAATTTGAAAAAAAAAAGGAAGTATTATCTGTTTTCTCTGTATATGCAAGTAAAAATACACTGAAGGCTCTTTTTTTATATTTTGATTTTTTAGATATTGTTAATAATTTATATTTCCTTATTTTTTCATAGTTTTATTACTCTATCTGGCAAAAAAATGTTTGTTAAAAAAATGTGATAAAGACGTAAAATTAAATATAAAAATTTTGAACAGTGGTAACTGTTCTTGTACTTATCTATTGTTCGAATCAATTTGATTGTTAAACTTGAGAGGAATGACTAAATCAAGTGGTTACTAAGTAGATGATTGTTTCATAAATGACATCCTAATGGTAAAAGATATGAACAGTGATGACATGCATTAAAGGTGCATTGTCCCTTGCTAATGTCAAAAAATCCTAAAAAATAATTTTGAAATAAACTTGCTCATATTGCAATAGCATACAAATTATTAACTTATGCATAAAAATTATTGAATTAAAAAAATATGTACCCTGATTTTTAAATCAAAAATTATGATAAAAATAATAAAACACTTCCAGTGACTGGAAGTGTTTCTATCATTTTTCACTGTAAACTGATGGGTAGACTTTTTTTAATACACTAA